ATGGAGAACTCTTTTAGCAATTATTTTGGAGCTATGGATAAATCAGGGAGAATCCTCCTCCTAAGACAGGAATATAAGGTGTCCTGCATCCTTTTTCGGTGTCATTTTTCCAGTGCACTTGAGAACAGTGCACGAACTGTGTTTTATGCACAGCTCCAGGGAGTTTCTAAGAAATAAGGGGGATATCACTTAACATTGGATGTACTCAGAAGCCAACCTTCTGACAATGTTTGTTCTGGCCTGGGAGAGACAAAGCCCACTATATTAACAGGGCATTTTATTATTAGGTTGTCATGAGTGTAAGTTGGCAAATTCTTAAGTGAGAGCTAGATTTTTGATGGGAGCGAAATAAATGAAATTAAGGTGGTTTGGATGGAAGGACAGTTGGAAAGGATGCAATGAGTTAGTCTTTGATACAAATTCTAGGAGCCTTAAATTGCATCCAACTGGGGAAGACTTTTCCTACTCACAATAAATAATGTATCAACCAAAATTCACATAGTAAGTAGCTTTGTTTTACTTACTAAGCAGCATTTTGGCTGGTTTATGTGCTGTATCGTAGAGTGCTGCATATTCTCTGATATGTCTTGGTTTAAAAAAAAAACACAGAGCACATTTTGGTAGGGTGTGGGGTCAAAGTAATAATAGCAATGAACGCCAGTTGTTAAATATGCAATAAATTCCAGGCATTGTGCCAAGGGCCTTCATACATTACATACATCTCAGGAGTCCCACAAGGACAAGGCTTATCAAGTTCACTTCACAAAGAGCTTGAGCCTCATAGAGCTTTGCAATTTTCCTGACTTCACATGGATTAGAATTCTAGTCTGAATTCCTTGAGAGCCCATACTGTTCAACTCCTTTTGGATCATGCAGATGTTCTGTCTCTTAATTTATTTCTTTCCTCATTATTGAACAATATGTCTAGACAATACAATAAAGGAACCTGGGGCTAATGTAATACCAATGTAATACTTTAGGTGTGATACCTAAAGAAGAAAATGAGAATTGAATGCTATTTGAGGAATGCCTATGGGCCTCATTTGCCTGGGGTCTACCCGCCTCTAGCCCCAGTGTTTTTTTTTTTTTTTAAGTTTTCTTTTTTTTATTATTATTATTTTTTGGAGACAGAGTCTGGTTCTGTTGCCCGGGGTAGAGTGCTGTGGTGTCAGCCTAGCTCACAGCAACCTCCAACTCCTGGGCTCAAGTGATCCTCCTGCCTCAGCCTCCCGAGTAGCTGGGACTACAGGCATGTGCCACCATGCCCGGCTAATTTTTTCTATATATTTTTAGTTGTCTGACTAATTTCTTTCTATTTTTAGTAGAGACGTGGTCTCGCTCTTGCTCAGGCTCGTCTCGAACTCCTGACCTCGAGCGAGCCTCCCTCCTCGGCCTCCCAGAGTGCTGGGATTACAGGCGTGAGCCAACGCGCCTGGCCTCCACTGTTTTTTGAGAGCTGACTTTGCCCAGGTGCTGGCACATGAGACCAGACCCAGCACTTCCTGAATTACATCACTCTCCCCTGAGTCTGCCCCTGTGGGCCCTTGTGCTCAAATCCTGACCAGCTGTCCAGCTCTTCCCTGCTTCTTTCCATGAAGGCTGCAGCCTACTCTCTGTGGGAAAAAAAGCCAAGTAACCTCCCTTTCTCCTGGCTTAGAGCACTCCAACTTCCTGTAGATGTCCCCTGTCTGTCACGTGACTCATTGTGGAATCCCTCTGATATGGTTTGGACGTTTGGTCACTCCAAATCTGGTGTTGAAATTTGATCCCCAGTGTTGGAGGTGAGGCCTGGTGGGAGGTGTTTGGGTCATGGGGGCAGATCCCTCATGAATGGCTTGGTGCCTTCCCTGTGGCAATGAGTGAGTTCTCACTGTATTAATTCACACAAGAGCTGGTTGTTTAAAAAAGCCTGGCACCTCCTCCTCTGTCTCTCTTGCTCCCTCTCTCACCATGTGACACACCCACTCCACCTTTGCCTTCTGCCTTGATTGGAAGCTCCCTGAAGTCTCACCAGAAGCATATGCTGACATGATACTTCCTGGACAATCTGCAGAACCGTGAGCCAAATAAACCTCTTTTCTTTATAAATTACCCAGCTTCAATTATTTCCTTTATATCAATGCAAAACAGACTAACACACCTTCTGATAACAACCCCTTCCACATAATTGTTTATTGTATACTTTGGCAGTGAAATTTACGTGCCTGCTCATCTTCTCTGGCTGCTTCCACCACACTAAAAATTTTTTTTCCAAATCTACTTGGGAGTAGAGTCAGAATTGGCACAGAATCTACTGATTCTTGAAAGAGATCCCTGAAGTTAGTGAGGAGGTTTAGAAAGCAGATGAGGTTATAAAGAGAGGAGAATCTGGTGACTTATTTGAGACTGGCCAATGAATTCATACACTGATGAGTGAGCTTAACTAAATGGTAAAAAATAAAAGCCTCTTTTGGAAGTGGCAGATTAGGAAAGACCTAGGAATCACTATGTAGCAACCATGTCTAGAATATGGATTCTTAAAAAAAGGATATAGTACATTTCTATGCTGACATAACGAATGTCATGCATTAAGGGACGTAAAATAAAACTCATTTATTATCTCACACTTCTGTGGGTGAGAAATATGGGTTGGTTCTGCTGGTTCATTTGCTCAGGGTTACACAAGCCCAAATCAAGCTGTCAAAGCCTGGCTTCTTATTGGGAGGTGGTGGGAATCATCTCATTCCAAGCTTATTCAGGTTGTTCTATGAGGAATACAGTTCTTTGTGGTTGTAAGAGTGAGAAGCGAATTTCCTTACTGGCTATCAGTTGGAGCTGCCATAGTTCCTCGAAGCCTTTCTCCAGTATTTGCATGTGGGCCCCTATTTCTTGAGTCAGAAATGGCACACTGATTTAGGGGGACAAGATGGCCCACTAGAGACATTGCTTACTAGACTGTCCCGGAGAGAAGGAAGGATTTCAGATAAAGGAAGGAGAGAAAGGACACAACTCATGTGTAGGTCAGAGGAAGAAGTGCTGGAGCTTTCAGGGACCTCACGGAGGAAAACTGAGAAGGAGAGAAGGAAGAGGAAAAAGGAAAAAAAATATATTGGCGAGGATCAAACCCAGAGAGGCTCAGAGCCCAGTGAAGGGGTAAGGGGGGGATCCTTTACTCCTTGCCACACTCCTTTGGTGATCAGCAGGCTACCAAGTTACTTGGAAACTTTTCCATCGCCACGAGCCCAAGCACTGCAGCAACCATAGAATTGTGGGGAGAACTTGCATGATCCCAGAGCTTGGACATTCCATGCGGGATTCCCCTCCAAGGAGAGTGATCGGAGAGGCTGGAGAGCCAGCTTTCTTCCATTCAAACCTTTATCCTCCCCCACCCCTCCCCTGCCTACTGCAACCAGGAGAATAGTTTGAGCCAAGAATCTGGCAAGCAGCCACCTCTCCCCAGCTGGCATATCTTCCACTCTGAGGTTTCCACAGAGAGTGGGGCCCATGCCTTTCCCCTTGAGAACCTGCAGTAGACCCAGGGTGCATGAACTGGGAGCTCACTGCCCACTGGCATTTTCCAGAGATGCACATCAGCAGGTCACTCGTGAAGGCTGGATCCCATGCCCCCAGGACTTGAGCGAGTTGCAGGGGGACATGGGGGGAGATTTGGGAGCTGGATTCAGGAGGTGTGTAAGATTTAAAAGTAAGGTATTTATTATTTTGTAAATCAAAGCTGTATATTTTCTTAACATCTTCAGGATAAAAAATAA